ATGTAAAAATATGCAACCGTTCAAGAGTTATAACGTTTTGAATTTTTGTTACGCACTGCGAAAATTTTAGCGAACCTTCAAAACGTTATAACTCTTGAACGGTTGCATATTTTTACATGACATTTGAAATCTATCGATGAATTTTGATGTAGCTTACTACTAAATTCTAAAAAATAGAGCACTACAAATAGTAAAAGAAAAATCTTGGGGGGGCTCAGGAAAATGCTAATTTTTTTCGCAAACTCCTATTGCAAAAATCTTTCAATAAAAACTCATTATTTGAGTCCAATATCATACCTCTATAAGTTTCACCTGGGTCCCATGCTCTAAACATGAAATCTAGCATACGAAAAAATCCTGGATACGCCACTAGGAATATGTCACTTTTAGTATAGATGCATCAATTCTTAAAGTTACCAGTCAAGTGCTAATCTATTTCCAGCGTTGAAAACTATCAAATTTCTGACAATGTTTCATAGTAGTTGTGACCAGTTTTGAATTTCTCTATTAGAAGCTATTATTGGATTTCATTGAATACAAATCACGAGTTTCTCAAGTGATTGAAATTAGAATCCTACAACCCGATTCATGAACGGGTTCGGATTTAACATTGTCGAGTCAAGCTTCGGTTTAATGTAAAAATGTATTGAGTCTCTGTTGGGTTTCATTTTCTCATAATATATACTCTTATCTCCTATGGTTTTTTTTCTCTATTTTATATACAAAGAATCATGAAGTAGCAATCTATTGATTTGTGTTCGAGATAATACACGAATACGCGCAAAATTTCTAGGTCCTTAAACAATAAATACTTCTTTTTCATATTTTAATACTTTTGCTGTTGTTGTCGTTTAGAAATGAATTCAAAAGAAAACATTTGAAAAATTATTGAAAGTGAAATAAAATCAGTAACGATGTAAGAAGTTATTTGTCTATGAACTAAAAAAGAACTGATTCAAACACGCTTAAAAATCATGTATCTTCGTGTAAAATTGCAACTAACTCTTCGATGTGTACCATCAAAAATCTGTTAATCAAAAATAGTAATGCGCATTCAGATGTTAAACCATCTATTATTATCGAATGATGTCCTAAAAAATGTGGTTATGGTATGAGGTATTATATAATGATTTCAGGTAGAAGCTTCGAATTATCATGTCACAAACATCTATTGATGCCGGACGAAAAGTTACAAAAGTAATTGATGTTTCCTCAATTGTTTCAAATCTAACAACTATTTCACGCAGAAAACAGATATTAGCCGAAAATATGAACGACATTTTTCTTTAGCGGCATCTTTCTCCTTTGCTTCTTTTTTATTTAAATCTCGAAAGAAATTATTTTAGCTCTTTTCGAACATGTGAAAAATGTCAAGATGATTGACGTAATGGTTGCACAGTGAGAAAAAAAACTTCTTCACATCGAATTTATATTTTACAATAACTCTTTATTTTTGTTTAAATGGAAATATTCAATCAAGTGCTCTTAAAACAAGTCAAGTAGCAACATTTCTCAGAGAAGGTCGAGTCAGATCGAATTTGAGTTGAACTTTATCGGATAGTGTCAGGTTCAAAAAGTTGAACCCGCATAGAATTCTAGTTGAAGCTGACTTTAAAAATGTTAATTTCGATCAATTAGGAAACTTTCATATAGTATTTTATAAATTCTGATGACAACTTTACATATATCAAAAACAGTTGATGCAGAGAATTAATAAGGACTTATATTGGTTTTACAGAAAAAGGTCATCTTTGACATGATGCTCTACAAGAATTGATATATGACTAATCATTTTTCATTGACATTTTAGAAAATATCATTGAATGAATGATAGAAAAAATAGATTTATGATTAAAATTGATGTATATTATTTACAAAAACAATTTCTTTGCGATCATTATCCAATTCTTTATCACTCATCGGTCGACATCGAACAACCACTTTAACATTATTTGCATTCCCACCAGTTGCTGATCGTTTTTTTTCCTGATAAAAGTCAAAATAATATTAATTTCATAAGATAGAAGAACAACAAAACATCGAATCAATCACAAACCGGCATAATTGTTTTTCTTTTTCTTCAATCTAAAACTATAAATTGTTTTTATTTTTTTTTTTTTTAGTATAATCAAATTAAAAATACCAAGATTTTCTTTTTTATTTTAAATGTTGAATAGACAAACGGTACAGCAGAGAAAAAAGAGAAATCTGTTTTCTTTTTTTTTTGTTAAGTTTTCAAGAACAACAACCAACAAAACGAAAGAAAAAGAAAAGATCATAACAAAAAGAAAAAAGACAGAAGAAAAGGGAAAAAAAAACTATTTCTGCATGTATATATTTTCCAAATTAATGTAGATATCAGCTCTACATGAAATCAAATAAATGAAGACAAACAAAAAGACTAACTCGACAATATAACAACAACAACAACAATAATAACAACAACCAAAAGAGAAAAAGAAAAGCTGCTTTAGAATACTTTACATAGAAAAGAGAATAAGAAATTTAATATATAGAAATATTTACAAACAAACACGCATCATCGTGTGCTTGGATATAGTTGTCATGTACACAACAAGAGTAAGAATGACGTATACATAGAAGTAGAAGAAACAAAAAAAAAGACATACGCATGATTCAAATTTGTTTTTATTTTTATTACTGTTTCAATGCTAGATTTAATCGAGAACAACAACTAAAGATAACGACCGGTTGATTGAGCAATACTTTTTTTGAAAACAAAAATGTAAAAATAAAAAAATTTTCATGTCGAAGATTCATTTTTTTCAATAGAATTATTAATTGTTTTTCTATTTGTGTCTGTATTAGAATTTTCTTCTGTATTTTGTTCAGATGTACTTGAATTATGAATTAATTCTTCTGTTGATTCAGGTTTTGTTGATGATATTGGTGGTGATGTTTGTGTTGATATAATAGGCGATGTCATTGTTGGTGAATTTCGTTGATGTTGGTGTTGTTGTTCAAATTCATATTCACTAAGTAAACGTTTTTTAAGTGGATGTGCACTATTGGATGATACAGATGTTGCTGGTGATACGGATGATGATATTGGTGATGCAGCAATTGGTGGAGTATTTGTTTGTAATGAATTTATATTTGGACTTTTATGAGTTGATGATGGATCAACATTTATTGATAATGTTGATTCATATTGAGTATCAGCCGGAGATGATAGTGTCTAATTTAAATATTAATAAAAATTTAATTCGAGATATATTAGAGAATCATCATTTGATTCGATTTATCTTGGAATAAAATCGAATATAACTTATACAACGATTTTTATGAAAAAAAAAAAGTATATAATTGAATCAAATAAAGGGTATGAATGCAGTTTTATCACTGAAAAGGAAAAAAAATATCTGAAGACTAATTAGGAAATCTTACCAAATAATAAATTGCGTTTGAGATAAATCTTAACTTATTAGGTAGGTTTTATTTTGACTAAAAAAAAAAAGCTTAAGAAGGATTTATGTCCATGGATTTTTCTTTTTGAATGATGTCTGTTTTAATGAATATTCCAAGAAAATGACCTGATTCGCTACAGACAGGGTGGTTAACTTTTTTTGTAGGGGTAAATGGGGCTAAAAATTTCACAAAAAGTTCTTTCATTTTCAACGTACTTGAAATAGTGATCGATGAAGGAAAGAATGAAAACATCGTGACCCGACCTCTACTACCAGATCGTCCATCATACTCACGTTGCAACGATGTTATCAACTAATTTTTATTTCACTTTCTGTCAGAAAAAGACAAAAGATGTTTTCGAATTCTTCTTCTGTCCTTAGTTACTAGAAAACTGTAAAAAATTGGCTGAAAGAATGTTCGATCTTCGAACAAATAAATTTCTTAAGAAACTAATTCATTGTAAATATGTCAACATTTCCATTAGGTAATTTTGAAAACTACTACTTAAGGATAGCTGATATTAAAAATCTAAAGCTTTCATAATGAACTAATCTTATTGAAAATTTCATTTGTTGAAATTTTGAATATATGCTAGTCGATTTCGAAGTTGATCTCAGATAAGTCAGAATATTTTGTTGAAAAACTCATAATAATGACTATAATACAAGAAGAAAGATCCATAGACATGAATTCTTCTAGACATTTTTTTTCTCGTCGCAATAGAGTCTATTCGATGCGTAGAGACTCATTTGAAAAGTAATTTGTCATTTAATAATTGAACTACGGCAAAGTATCGTACTTCACTTGTACTTCGGAATACTAAAGTCTCACTTTTTCCCACTTGCTTCGGGCGCGGTCGAGTTGGATTTCGAAAATTTTGGATTCAATAGATTCTACTCATAAGTCATTTAGATATTGTTAATTAATTGTTCATCATTTCGAATGAAATTGTACCTGCTGTGCTCTACGCACAAATTTTCCTTTTGGGGAATGATCATGTGGCGATGTTGACGATTGTCTGGATGGTGAAAATTGTTGTTCATCTATATATAAGAACAAATAACAAAATTTGACGTAAAACTGCTTTTTTTTTAAAATACTTTTATTCATACATGCATAACGTGGATTAAAAAGTTGATTATTTGCTGTTGGTGGATATTGCTGTTGATCATTTGACGAACGTGTTGGTGGTGATATTGGACTACCTTGTGTTATTGAACCAGAATTAGTAATTGTGGAGCGTGCTGATCGTGATGCATATGACTGTTGATATTGTTGTTGAACATACGATTGCCAATTACGCTCAATATTTGATGATGATGATGATGATGGTGATGATGATGATGAACTCATTTGATGATGAGAGTTTTTTGATTGTGATTGTAAAATAAATGGATCACGTACATTGGTGGATG